CCACGTGGGCCCATCTGGCCCATGTTCACCCCATATGGGACCCACATGGGATGCCCATCTCCAGGCCACATGCGTTTTGCCCACCTGGCCCATTTTTATCCCATATGGGGCCCATATGGGTAGCCCATCTGTAGCCCATGTCCCACGTGAGCCCATCTGGCCCATGTTTACCCCATATGGGACCCACATGGGATATCCATCTCCAGCCCACATGCGATTGGCCCACCTGGCCCATTTTTATCCCATATGGGGCCCATATGGGTAGCCCATCTGTAGCCCATGTCCCACTGGGCCCAACTGGCCCATGTTTACCCCATATGGGACCCACATGGGATGCCCATCTCCAGCCCACATGCGTTTGGCCCACCTGGCCCAGTTTTATCCCATATGGGGCCATATGGATAGCCCATCTGTAGCCCATGTCCCACGTGGGCCCATCTGGAACCCACATGGGATGCCCATCTCCAGCCCACATGCGTTTGGCCCACCTGGCCCATTTTTATCTCATATGGGGCCCATATGGGTAGCCCATCTGTAGCCCATGTCCCACTGGGCCCATCTTGCCCATGTTTACCCCATATGGGACCCACATGGGATGCCTGCATCTCCAGCCCACATGCGTTTGGCCCACCTGGCCCATTTTTATCCCATGTGGGGCCCATATGGGTAGCCCATCTGTAGCCCATGTCCCACGTGAGCCCATCTGGCCCATGTTCACCCCATATGGGACCCACATGGGATGCCCATCTCCAGCCCACATGCGTTTGGCCCACCTGGCCCATTTTTATCCCATATGGGGCCCATATGGGTAGCCCATCTGTAGCCCATGTCCCACGTGGGCCCATCTGGCCCATGTTCACCGCATATGGGACCCACATGGGACGCCCATCTCCAGCCCACATGCGTTTGGCCCACCTGGCTCATTTTTATCCCTTATGGGGCCCATATGGGTAGCCCATCTATAGCCCATGTCCCACGTGGGCCCATCTGGGACCCACATGGGATGCCCATCTCCAGCCCACATGCGTTTGGCCCACCTGGCCCATTTTTATCTCACATGGGGCCCATATGGGTAGCCCATCTGTAGCCCATGTCCCACTGGGCCCATCTGGCCCATGTTCACCCCATATGGGACCCACATGGGATGCCCATCTCCAGCCCACATGCGTTTGGCCCACCTGGCCCATTTTTATCCCATATGGGGCCCATGTGGGTAGCCCATCTGTAGCTCATGTCACACGTGGGCCCATCTGGCCCATGTTCACCCCATATGGGACCCATGTGGGCATGTTTGCTGGGGCTAAGCCCATATGGGACCCAGATTTAGCCCAGATAATAGCCCACATGTAGCCCATGCCCACTTAAGCCCAGATGCCCCACTTTCAGCCCATATGGGCCCCATTTGGGAAGGCTGGCTGGGTGGGTTACGTAGCGATACGCGGAAGGCGGCGTTCGAAAGAGCGCCAAAAATAATGACGAAATCACTTCTGTCACTTTTTTGGTGAGGTCAAAGGTCAGGCCACGAGAGGTCATTGAAGGCAAAATTTCGCCGATTTCAAGGTCGAATGTCGACAATTTCCAAGAAGCCAACGCATAACTCGGGAACCAATAGAGCTACAGCGCCGCGGAAAAGCGCATTCGATAGCCCTATCAACGCCCTTTCTGAGCAATCCTCTCAGATTTGACCTAACGTCAACGGTTTTGCCTGCAGGGGGCAAAAACTGCAAAAATAACCGTTTTTTCGAAAACAGTTTTTCTGCAATATCTTTTGACCCAAGCCTTGTACGAGCTTACTTTTGCCGGCATCGTGTTCCTCTCGTCAAGACGCATCGAATGAACTATAACTTGACCTTGAAAGGTCAACTTGAAAATTTGACGTCAGGTCAAGGTCATGACCTGACCGGAAAAGGTCATGTTGCATATCAGTGATCCGTATCGTCGAGTTGAACACATCTAAGGCGTTTTCATCGCTCTAGCGTGCCTCAATCAAAAGTTATTTGCGAAAAAACTGTTAGATACCTACCGTTCGTGACCTGAGATGACCTCAGGGGCATAAAAAGGGGTCACGGACACCATTTTCATGTTCATTGTGTCTAAACCACTTGTAATTCAGTGTTTGGGAGTGTTAATAATGTCTTTCGTCCAAAAGAGGCGCATTTCAATTTTCTCCCATTGACTTATAATGGGGAGCTCGCAAAATTGACCTGACCTTAGGTCATCGATATCGAAATTCTGAGGCATAAATTTTGTACACGCTATCGCTCTTATCAATCACTGAAAGTGTCAAAGCGATCGGTCACTCGTGTAGCTATGGCAGACATTGAAACTTTTTATGAGGTGAGGTCACTTCAAGTGAACTGGTGACCTGATCTTGAATGACCTTGGTCTGAAATTTTTACAACATGTGTAGAATTGATGTACAGGGTGACACAAAAAAACGGTCATCACCAAATTTCGCATAACTTCGGAAGTTTTATTTAGATCATCACCAAACTTCGGCCACTTAAGGTCACACCTATGTAGCATACATCCACCAAAATCATTTAAATGATTTTGAAACAGAGAATGCTTATACAAAATTTCATCATGTGTTGTGTCAGGTGTCAGAAATCCTAAAACAAAATTGTGGTTGTTGTTTGTCATGAATGATAGGTGGCCGGTGGGTGCTCCTAATTGCATGATGGTGTGTTATAAAAATAAGGTATACCTTAAAGGGAAAATTTTCAGGACATAGGTATAGCCGCCAAAGCAGGCGGCCCTCTCTTCTGACCCTTACCCTCCTGACCTTCAGGCGCTGCACGCGGCTGGCTCTGCACAACAAGAAAGGATTCGCCGCGTGTGGCTGCGAGGAAACGGGAAGTCGCCGACTGTCTACCTACGACGACTGATACCTGGGTCCTGGAACCATACGCCCACCTGGCCTATACCTGGCCTCAATCCGGGCTGAATGTGGGCGCACAAATTTGTCATTGTTTTGAATTTGACCAAATGGTCCACGATATGGTCCACCTTTTGTAAAGTCAATGTGCCGGTTTTCTTCCATGTTTCTGCGGCACCGGGAGGTTCCGAGTCTTAACTACATCGCTTATCGCATGGCGGATCCAGAAAGCCGGTCTCAGAACGCTGTTCAGTTTTCTTTCTTATCTAGAAAAAAGTATATTTTCATCGATTTCGGAGGAGGCGTTTGCCTTTATTGCGCCCCACCTTGGATACGCTAGTGGCTCTTTGGCTCAGACGATAGTGCAGATGAGTATCTAGTGTTCATCGTACCGTTTCGATCGTTCTGTGTTTGGTAACGAAATGTGCTCCGGTCGCCGGTACGTATACCGTGAGGCTTATGTACGTGCGTAGGTATTGTGTAATCGCTTCATGTTTCGTACCATGTGCATACGTTTTGAACAGTAAATACAGCTTCTCATTAATAAATCTGTTTACATTTCAGCGCGAAGTGGGGGGGGGGGGGAGGTGGGTGACATGGATGGGCGGTAGGAGTCATTTTGACCACCTGAAAGTTTCGCCTGGCGGGCGTATTTGTACCCGGAGAAGGCCAAGCGAGTCATCGCCTTGTCGGCGTCGGGTAACCCCAATAATGAGAACGGCTAGGCGAGTCATCCACCCGACTGAGAGGATGCTCTGTTGAAAGGCGTCTCCAGGCGAGTCACTCGCATAGTCGGCGTTCGCTGGATCGGATAGGGAGAGTAGCAAAAGCGAGTCATTTTTATCGGGTCAGACAGCGCTAGAAAGGGCAGGACTTTTTATCCAGGCAGCTTAACTTCAGCGAAACGGGTAAACTCGCTTTTGAGGAGTAGGGGAGAGTGGGGCACATTCGTGCAAAAAAAGGATAAATCCATATATCTGTTCTTTGGTTAAAGCAACGGCAAAATTGTTGATTGTAGTATGGAAAGGAACTATTGCAGATATTTTTCCTCTTGAAAAGTTATCCTATAAAATTATTGCTTCTATTAGAAAAAATGACTTTTAATAACTCTGAAGTCTGAACGTTTGCACGAAACTGCCCCATCTATGGGGCACATTCGTGCAAGTGATGGGGCACTTCCGTGTAGGTACCCTGCAAATTTCGAGAAATTACCGGGCATTACCACAAATTTAGCCAAGGAAATTGGCAGGGGGAGGGGGTCATTTCACTTGATTCCTTTCGACGAGAATGCATTGCACAACATATGTAGAAAGAATGGGCTGGCCAACAAGAATGTGCCAACTGCCGGCCTCCGTGACCTCGCCAAGTTCGCGTGAATTACTCGTCACGACGTCGCAAGCAGCCGAGACTGAGTCAGGTGAGTGTCATTAGTGAAACCTACTACAGATAAAGTCATAAATCGCAAAAACTAAAAAAAAAAATGCACGAATGTGCCCCCAGGCAGTGCGTACACGAACCTGCCCCACAACGTTATTTGTAATATATTTCAAAATTTCTTGTTGAAAAAATGACACTTTTTCAACAAACAAGTTTGCAGCCAGTAGCGGCGGAACCAGGGGGTGACACCTAATGGAACGCCATTGGTCATGGTTTTGCTTACTGAAGAAGCTCCGATGACGTACTTGGCGGCGCCCGATGGCGGCCAACCAGAGCGCAGGAATTTGCTAACAAAAACCAGACTCTACTGCTTGTGAACATGTTAAGCTGATTGGCGAATAATACATGGGGAGAACCGGGACGACATCCCCCTGGGCTGCTCGAGCACCGCCTGAAATTCAGCGGTTGTACCATATCATACTCGTAATGTCCCAGTGGTTGCTTAAATTATATCTGAGACACAAACTGATTTGCGTAAGTGCGAGGAGAGTGATGCTGTAGGGAAAGCGTACCTATGTGTTAACTCTACGCAATAATTCGACACTGCCATTCGCCAGGTGCTGGGAAGCTGGAAAGGCACCCCCTGGGATTATGACAATTCTCCACCTCTGACTGCAGCATACATGTCCGAATGCGTCACCTACCCTCAACATACATATGTACGGATTATGCAGAATACACTTACCGTCTGTGATGATGAACTGCGCGCCGGCCGGCGGCAGAGCCGCGCCGCAGAGGAGCAGCGCGGCGCCGGCGCCCAGCACGATAGCACCGGCCGCGCCAGTGGCCATCGCCGCAGTACAGTACAGTACCGCAGTACAGTACCACAGTGCAGCTCACTCGGTCCGCGGCGCGACGGACAGCACGGCGGCGTGTCCCCCACCGCGCAGCTTCCGTCTACGACTGCCGGGCCGCCGCGCCGCCCAGGCCGCCCTCCACTCCCCACCCCCCGCCCCCTACCCCCAGCCGGTATGCACATTGCACAGGTGGGGGTACCAATGACGTCACACGGCTCGGAGACCACCTTTCCAGGGATGAGCACAGCGGCTGGCAGCCCATGCCTAGGTGAAACCATGGGCGTCAAAAGCGGGGGGGGGGGGACGGGGGACGACCCCCCCCCCCCACCAGTAGAGAAATCCGGGGAGACGTCCCCCAAATAATCATCCAAGTATGCTTAATAATGACTATTTGCAGCGGTCATTCGCAATTAGGAGCCATGTAGGGGAGACCGGGGAGAAATGTGACATTATTTTGACGTCAACTTGGAAAAATCGTAAAAAATAAACTATTTAAGATTTAAGCACATTGATTGCATTTACTGGTAAACAGTTTATTTCTACTTCATTCTTTACTGTTTTTATGCGTGTTTGTTCACGTGCTACTTCTCAAATTTAAATTTTAGGAAAGGTTGACAATGGGGTGAACTGGGACACGTCCAAGAGAAGTGGGACAAATGATGGGGAGAACTGGGACTGGTCAAGAAATGTGATTTAAATGGAATACAATTAAAATTTGATGACCCATCACAAAGAAGGTGGTTTAAAAATTAATTAAAGAAATCACCTCGATTATCTTTTTTGAATGAAAGCTTAAGTATCTTGGAAAATTTTCACATGCATTTGCATGCGGGAGAACTGGGACAAGGTTTAGGCACGTTGTCCCAGTTCTCCCCAAGTCTTCATTTTTATTTCAACTGCTCTCACACACAAAAAGTATAAAGGCCTGGCCATAGATGATGTGAGTGTGCATGATCGACTTCGAATAAACGCCATAGGTACCTGCTGATCTCGCCGAACATTCGCCTTGCGTAATCCCCAGACAAAATATACCTATACATTGAGGGCCAGGTCAATTTTGCGACCTCTTCATTACCTATTAGTTAACCCGCGCCGTGCTGGTGGCCTGTGTTTTCCGTGTTGCGCTGGGGGGTGGGGGGGGGGGCGTCTTCACGCCCCCTCCCCTCCAACTCGGCTCCTGGGCCACGTAGCGACACGCGGTAAGCGGCACTCAAAAGAGCGTAAAAAATAATGACGGATACAATTCGCTCAATTTTCAGGTTAGGTCAAAGGACAGGTCACCAGAGGTCATCAAAGGTCAAATTAGTCCATTTTAACAATTTTGGAAACTGCCACCGGCTAACTCGGAAACCAACAGAGCTACAGCGCTGCAGAAAAGCGCATTCGATATTTCTTTTACAAACTTTTCTGAATATTGCTCTCAGAATTGACCTCAAGTCAACGGTTTGGCCTCCAGATAGAAAAACTAAAAATAGCAGTTTTTATGAAAAACGTTTTCTGCAATAACTTTTGATTCAAGACAGTGACATTTATTTTGCCAGCATCGTGTTTCTCTCGCCGAGACGCGTCGAATGAACATGTCAAGGTCAAACCTGACCGGAAAGGGTCATGCTGCAGTCGCTGCATATCAGTCGATCCGTATCGTTGAGCTGAACACATCTGACGTGGTTTCACTGCTCTAGCACGTCTCAATCAAAAGTTATAGCAAAAAAAAAAACTGCTGGTGACCGTTTTATGACCTGAGATGACCTCAGCGGCACACAGAAGGGTCACAGGTGCATTTTTCCGATTCAGTGTGTTTTCTTTACCATGAACCGATGTTTGAGAGGGTTTTGAACGACATTCGGCCAAAAGAGGCGAATCTCAATTTTCTCCCATTGACTTGTAATTGAGAGGTCGCAAAATTGACCTGACCTTTGGTTACAGATAGCAAACGTCTTAGATAAACATTTTATACATTTAATTGTCAATCTCTGAAAGTTTCAAGAGTGAATAGTGATCGTTCAGTCGGTGTAGCTATAGCGAGCCTATAAACTTCTTCTGGGGTAAGGTCACTTGACGTGACCTGGTGACCTGACCTTGAACGACCCTGGTCTGAAATTTTCACAAGACTTTTGCAGCGCCGCTGTTTTTGAGATATTTGCGAAAAACCTAAGGGGAAGGGGGCGTAAAACGCCCCCCCCCAGCACGGCGAGGGAGAAAATTGAAATGATCTTCTGAACGGAAACACGCTCATCATCGGGATACATGTAAACATGACACATTTAATCGGAAAATTTCGCTTGTGATGTGACCACTTATGTTACTGAGGTCATCTCAGGTCATGAAAGGTCTCCAGTAGGTTTTGGACAATAACTTTTAAGAGCGATATGGTAGAGCAATGAAACATCTTAGGTATATGATTATTTTCCTTCTCGGCAATGCGCATCAACTGATACGCAATATAATGCAATATATATATATATATATATATATATATATATATATATATATATATATATATATATATATATATATATATATATATATATATATATATATATATGCAATATAAGAATAAATGGGGGAACGTCATTAACATATTACAAGACTCAGACACACCATCAACCAACTGAGCCTCTTTCCCATCACTCCGGGTCCAAGCTGACGTGCTGCCGCCGCCGTCGATGCTGCTGCCGCCGCCGGATGGGGCCAGCTGCCGCTCCCGTACCCTCCGTCCCGTCCTGGCCGCCGCTGTCGGGCCGTCGGGCCTGTGCCGCCGCTGCGCCTGTGGTTGTGCTCTGTGCCGCGATGGTGACCGTGTCGGTGTCCGCCGCCATCGCAACCCGTTTTTCGTGCCGCCGCCGCTGTTTAGGTTGTGCTCATGTGGGTACTGTATGATTTTTATGCGCATTTTTGTCCTTTCTTTTGTCTTTTTTCATCCTTTGTTTTTCTTTCCCATTTACTTGGCCGCCCTGAGGCAACAATCGCCTATGCGTGTGTACGTACGCGTGTGTGTGTACTGTGTACACTACAGAATCCTCGCCCCAGACGGAAGCACTTGCCGCGCGCTCCACAAATGGCAAATCTGGGCAACTTGCGTGTGCCGTTCTTTGTGCCACAGATGCCGTTGCCTGCGGTGCAGTTTTGTGAAGTCTGATTGTGAGCGCGCCTATATAATGTAAAATATACATGAAAAAAAAACTGATATGCAATATAACCTTTCCCGGTTAGGTGATGACCTTCACCTTAGGTAAAGTTCTCAAAATACCCTTTTAACCCGGCAGGCGGTGGGCCTCCCGGCCACCTTCCGAGCGGTGGGGGGTGGGGCATTTTTTGTCCCCCCCCCGTATCACCGAAACTACTAGACGGATCCGGAAAATTCAAACGGCGTTCGATAGCCCTGTCAAATTTGTCGAGGTAAACCAAATTTCATTGACCTCGGGGTCACCGATGACGTCACAGATCAGCTCAAAGATAACATGTTTCACCGTTCACGGGGCTTCTAGGGAAAGCGCTATAACACGGAGTAAAACGCATTTTGTCGAAAATCAGCGATAGGCCATGAGTTGTCTAGTACATATGTTGCTATTAGAGGTCACTGGTCATACCAGGTCAGGTCACAGGTCACGTCACCAAAGGTCACCAAGGGTCACCATTACCAATGAACCCAACTTTACTAAGGTTGTGCGATGCATGTTTTATGGCCAGTTTTTCATTTCCAACTCAATGGTGCTGGTTATAAGACCATCAGGTACGGTTTAGGTCACTTTCTGCTGGAGGTCAGGTCAAAGTCAGGTCAAAAAAGGTCAAATTTCAAAGTTGATATTTTTGCATAAAATGGGTATTGATTGATGCAGCTCGTCACGGGGAGTCTAATGGTGGTCTTTGTTTTGCGCTACGATGTCTAGAATTACTAAAAATTGAGTTTGAAAATTTGACGTCGTCAATTTTGAACAGTTTTTTCGCTATAACTTGGCCAAAAAAAGAGGTATCCTTCTCAAATTTGGTATGTAGATAGGTAGAAGGCGGTAGGGGCTATCACATATCTTCCGTTTTTTTCGAAATTCAAAAAAAAACTTTTTGGATTTTTCGGCTATTATATTCAAAAATTTATTTTTTTAATTTTTGGGGTTCAAAATCTGAGAATTTCAAAAACTCGAGATAGCAGTTTTGTAGCCCTCTACATGTTACACCTTTTATGTCTGAAACATTTTTCTGCATCTCTAAAGCTGTAGGCCTGACAGCACTTCTCCCGAACCTTTTTTCGGGTCGAAAATGGCAGAAATGACGTCACTCTGACGCCATTAGCAACCAACCTATCATAGCCTTTGGAAATTTTTTTGGTCACAATGTGCAATAGCTATTCACGGTAGGGTACTGAAAGTTTGGTGACAATCGGCGCAGCGGTTCTCGAGATATATCGAGAAAAAAAAAACTTAAGGGGGGGGGGGCAAAAAATGCCCCCCCCCCCACCGCCTGGAAGGTTAATGTCAAATTCTAGTTCATTTGGCTCGTCTCGAAAAATGAAACACGATGCCGGTTAAACTAATCTCGTGCAGGTCTGAGTCAAAAGTATTACAGATAAACGTCCCCCGCGAAAACATATATTTTGAGGCTAAAACGTTTACCAATTACCTTAGGTCAAATCAGAGATAATTAATAAAAAAAGCATAACAAGAGCTATCGAATGCGCTTTGCTGCGGCGCTGTAGCTCAATCTTATTCTGATATGCCGCTTTGTCGAAAAAATGTCAAAATCGTCGAAATTTGATTTTCGGGACCTGACCTTCGACCAGTTCGACATAACCTTAAAATGATCTAAGTTCGGCGCTATCGATCTTGAATGGGGCGGGGCGACTGAAGTCTCCATTCAGATGGGCGTCAGCAGGGGCGTCGACACCGGTCCGACTTTTCCGACTAGTCGGACCACTTTTTCGACTAGGCGGTGCCCTGCTGTGGCTCGCGGGGGCCCCTGCTGCAGACTGCGGGGGCCCTACTGCGGCTCGGGGGGGCCCTACTGCGGCTCGGGGGGCCCTGCTAGAGACCGCGGGGGCCCTGCTGCGCCTCTGGGGCCCTGCTAGACACCGCGGGGCCCTGCTGCGGCCCGCGGGGTCCCCTTCTGCGGCC